TTTAAAACACCTTAATTAATTATTAGTTATAATAATTAAATGAGCACGGCTCCGATACCACTGTTGGGTATCGTAGTGTCCGACACTACGCGGAATGAAACCCTCCCAAAATCCGCACAAAAATTAAAGTAACTAAACATGCATATTAATTAATTACAATCACATAATTAATTAACAAGGAGAGAGAAAGAAGAAAAGACGATATTACTCTTGATGCGTGCTTCGCTCTTTCTAAGAGCTCGTACTTGAAAGCGTAAAGCTCCGCAAATGCGCAAGCCTCCGACGGCTCTAACCCTCGAGACCTGACCCGAACGACCCCTACCCTGAAGCTTAGTTGGGGCTAGACCAAAAGAACTTAAAGTATTAGAACTAAGGTGTTCTCTTCTTGGAGATCCCTTAAAGTTCACAACTCAAGTGTTCGTTCCCAATGCCATATGATTTGTATTTATAGGGAAGGGAGCTCTTGAATTCCAATCTCCCATCAATGTGGGAGAATTGGTAAAATGCATTTTATTCAATTTATTTTAATTCAAAAATCAAATTGAAATGCAAGTGAATCAACAAACGACAAGTGTCAAGTGGTGAGCAAGAGGTTAGGTGAGGACCACAAGGAGGGACCACTCTCCCCTTGCTCCCCAAGCAAACCCACACACACATGCCTTCACACGTACAACCAACCACACGCAAGAGCAGCCACACGCACAAGTTGTGGCTGGCATGGGCGCAAGGCATGGCTGGCTGCCAGCCTTGCTGTGCGGCACACGCACACGTTGTGCTGCCATCGCTAGCCTTCGCTAGCTAGCTGCTGCTTGTGCTAGGCGCTGCTCAGCACGCAAGCACGCACAGCCCACAGCACACGCACGCATAGCACGCTACTGCTGCTGATGCGATGCTCGTGCTAGGCGCAGCCTAGCTGCTGCTATGCTTGCGGCTGAGTGCGAGGCCTAGAACACTAGCACGCATGGCACGCCAACTGCTAGCATGCGTGCGACCAGGTGCACCAGCCCCGCAAGCATGCTTGGCAAGAAAGCCTAGCACACACATGCATGCTAGGCTTGCGGCACAGCCATGCGATGCGGTTGGTGCCCTATGCTAGCCTAGCCTTCGCATGGGCTAGGCCAATGCGAAGCTACGACTTAGCTTAAACTTGTCGTTTGGTTGATTTCTCATCTCGTCGAATTCTAAATTCGACTCGACTTGCGACGCTCGGTTTCGACGCTCCAAGCTCGATATCCGACGTCTTTGTTCGTAATACTCTAATGAATCATTCAATCCTTCAGATTAATTCATCGTTTCGGCTCGGTTACTCGATTGGGTGTGACCCGAAGGGTTCAGTCAGGATTAAGCTGTAATATTAATTATACATTAATATTATCGATCGGAAGTGGCCTCCAGCTAGGCATTCCGATCACTTGACCTCACTGAATAATTAGCTTTCGAATAATTCTGAACCCTCTATCGGATAATACACTTGTTTGGAGGACACCATTCCTTTCAGGAATTGGTATATATGTAATTTCCTTATATGGAGATAGATGGGTTTATGTGAAATACTTCTTTTACATATTAAAATCATATTTTGGAATGTTTGTGTTTGTTGTGAATTTCAATAAGTTGTTGTATGGGTTTATCCATTTAAGTATGAATTTTATATAAGTTTGTTATAATCTATTGACTAATTTCTTTGACCTTATATGATATAATTAACTATGTGATAGGTGGAAAATATTTGAATCATACGAAGTGGTCAATATGGTTGAGTTTGTTATTTTGAGTTTAAAGGATTTGATGATTACCATGTGAAATGAGGAGTTATTTTAGATTGTTAATGGTCATAAACGTGAATATTTGGAGGATTTGTGTTATCAAGTCTTTACTAATTTTTGGAATATAATTTGTGTTGAGCATGGAAATATTATTTGTGGTAATGATGAATTAAAGGTTCTACATCAGTGTTGGAGTAAGGTATGTATTTTTGGGAGATATGAATTATGATATTAGCATTAATTTATGATCGTTTGTATTTAAAGGTGGAAAGTATTCATATTACGAGAATGAGTATTGTGATGATTATGTAAAGCAAAATTGTTGATGATTGAATCTTTGAAGAAACTTAATACAAAAGTTAGAGGATTTTGAGTCAATTGAAGTGAAAAGGGGGTATAAGAAATAGTATTTGAGATAAAGGAATTTGTTTTAAATTGAAGTTATTTTGAAGAAATAATACCTTGTGAAGGGATTTATTGAAGTTAGTTAAGGAATGATTGTTTGGATGGTTACTTACAGGATTTTACTCTAAGGGATTGACGACAAAGTTAATTGATATAGAGAAGTTATTAATAATGGAAAAATCAACGATTGCATTTTGAGTTATTTAAAGAATTTCCTTAAAGATAAGTTATGGACTATAACAACCAGATTGAGGAATTTAAAGTTATGAGAAAAGATGATCGAGTTTTTGAATGTTTTAAAGGCGAAGTATTATGAAGTGACCAAGGGTTAATGATTACGATTTAAGGTTGTATTACCAAGATTTATGAATTTGTTGGGAAAATTGTAAATACTTTTGGAAGACACTCTGAGACAAGTTACTAATCTATGAGCGATAAGAAGGTCAAGATAAGATATGTCCTTTTATGCTTGGTACCTATGACAGTTGATTAGGGGATTTTGCTCCCACCAATCGGAATGCGCCACATGGACCAATCAGGTCCTGCCAAGTGTCCCCTAGTTGGAACTGTCAGGGCTTGCCACGTGGCACGCGCTTATTCGTCCACCTTGGACCTGTTATGTCACGACATGTGGCATACTTCATGCCTAATGGAGAAACTAGCCACCCAGGCCCAATTTCCGAGGGAAGCCCAATCGGCCCTAGGTTTACCTAAACCTAGGATGGGCACGTTTCCCAAGGTTATAAATACCTCCCTTAATCCTCATTAAGGAGGAGGACAAGAAGATATAGAAACATTACGGGAAAAACACATTAATTACACACAGTAATAACCGGCTGATCTCGCTAACAAAGCAGATTACCTACGTTAATCACTCTCACCTAGAGAGACCTAATCACTTTAATTTCCGTATTAATTACTCCTTAATCAGTTACTAACTTGACCGTTGGAGGCGGAGCTCACAGGAGTCTCCGTTATTTTGCAGGTACAGGCGTCCGGTTCCAGTCTCGGAATTGTAACTCTCCCGCAGGACATCAGAAAACCCCGAAACAACAGTGTTTGCTATAAAGTTGAATATGTGATTATTGTAATTATAGAGTTTCTTTATGAAAAAGTAAGACTTTTATTAAAACTGTTGAGAAAATGTCAAAATGAAGTTCACATAACTTGTAGCATGGTTACTTGTAGCTCATCACATGAATTTATTATGGACAATAATTTGTCTAAAAGTACAATCATGTATAATATTTTAATGGCAATATTTTCCTATAAATAAGTTCACTATCTTGTGAACTATGAAAAGAAGAAGTAGAAAATACAACCGACTCTTTTATTTGTTCCTTTGCTTTCTTCTATCTCCACAAACATACAATATCATCCTATAATTAGAAAGTCATCTTTTAACACGTTATCAGCACCAATTCCTAGTCATGTATATTTATACCTACTTCTCAAAATTATAACAAATAAATATTATCTACTTCTAAATGTTTTGAGGAATATGCTCTATAATTGCCCATATTTTGGGATCCTCTATACTAGAAACTCAAACATTTACTGTATTATATATCACAAAAAAAAAAAAAAAACAACACACAACGGTGAAAAAAAAATCCTCTTATAACTTATGAATTCATTAATTTCCCTCCTTGTTTTATTCATGATGGTATCGGTTTTTTTTGTTTGATTCATGCATGTTGATATTACGTACTCACCTTTTATGTAAAATTTAATTTTTAGTTATTATAATTGATTAGTAGTGACTTTGCATACATATTATTAACTAAATTGACAAAAAGATGCAGCTTTTTTTTTACTTATTATTTTTTTTCTTTCTTTTACGTACTTTTTGTGTTTGTTTCAGTTTTCGAACCCATGATCTTTTATAGATATTAGGGCTCTCGGACCACTATGGCTTGCATTTCCAGTGTGATAACCTTTTACAATTATAAATACTTATATTTGGACCATAATTTTGCCAGTACATTAAACTATTATATGATATTTTTTTACAATTGTACAAAACAATAACATATAAACCTACCTCTATAAAAGGTATATTTTCCCCCGATTTTCACCACAAATCCCTTATTCTTTCCCATTTTTTCCTTTATCCGAAAAAAAAAATTCACTCCTTCCTCTCCAATATGTTCCCCGACGGCAACCACAACACTCAAAACACCCACACCTTCACCTTTGAGGAAGATTTAAGGAAGATAAAACAATATCTTCTTCTAATTATGGCGCTTGTAGTTATGTTAGTAGCAATATTAATTTTTGTCATGATGTACAAGTGAAGTTTGTTTATTTTGTTGGTTTAGTAGATTAAAATCATGTTTTTGTTTTATTATGTTGTTTTGTTGTTATTAATCATCATTGTATAATATTGCCATTATTATTATAATTATTATTACTATTGTAGTTGTTATCGTTTTGCTGTTTATGTGACTAATATGATTTATTTTTGCCTAATCATACAATTACTCACAATAATAAACCAAGGGGGAGAAAGAGCTATATTATTTATGGTTTATCAATGGTAAATAAATTTATTTATCATGTGTTTCATTAACAAACTAAAATATGGAAGAATTAAACATATGTGATGTACGTATGATTTATTATTATAAGCTAATTATCACGTAATTTGTTGTAGTTAAAATGGGAGATCTTATGAAAAGACAATTCAGCATCCTAGATTTATCTGGAAAGAAATTTTTGGAATGGAAAGTGGATGCCATGATGAATTTATAAGCTCAAGGGTTGGAGCACACTGTTAAAGATAATAAAAGTCCATCTGGTCAAACAACTGATACTACCACTTCTGCAATGACGGTTGAAAAACCTGTTACTGAACAAGAAAAGGCAAAAGCCTTAGTGTTACTAAGGCATCATCTACATGAAGGCCTTAAAACTGAGTACATGATGGTTGAAGTCCCAAAGAATTATGGGATTGCCTTAATGAAAGATTTGGACACCACAAAAGGGTTCTCCTTCCTAAGGCATTATTTGACTGGACAAATTTACGGTTCCTGGATTTCAAATCCGTAATTGATTACAATTCAACCATGCATGAGATAGTATTTATATTGAGATACTGTGATCATCCAGTCACCGATGAACAGATGATTGAAAAAACACTCACTACCTTTCATGCAAGCAACATACTGCAAGAACAATATCGTGAAAGAGGTTTTAAAAAGTTTAATGAATTAATGAGTGTATTGCTTGTTGCGGAACAAAATAGTGATCTTTTGTTGAAAAATCATAATCTTAGACAACTTGGGTCTTTGGCCACTCATCATGAGGCAAATGCAACAAGTTCTTATCCACCCGAGACAAATGCTACACGAAGAGGTGGACGTGGAAATTACAATGGCCGTGGAAGAGGCCGTGGAAATTATCGCGGACGAGGCCGAGGACGTGGTAGAAATAATTTTCAAAGAAACAGTAATTTCAAAAATTTTGAAAAACAGAAGGGACAGTCATCTGGAAGCCACAAACAAACTCCTTCAAAAGGAAAAGACACATGTTACAGATGTGGCATGACAGGGCATTAGGGACGTACTTGTCGTACGGCCAAACATTTGGTAGACCTTTACCAGGCTTCCGTTAAAGGCAAGGAGAAAAATGCAGAAGCAAATTATGTTAATGAAGAAAATGCTCCATGTCCTACCCTTGATGTGTCCGATTTCTTCATGGACAATGCTGAAATTCGGAATGATTTCGTCTTTGGAGAAATTAACAATGCTTAAATAACCCATCTACTAATGTAATATATACTACGTTTTAATGTATTTCCTGTTATGTACTGTATTTTAAATGACTAGTCATGTACTCTTAATTTCTTTCATCAATAAAAGTTTGTATGATATTATTCTAAACTAATCTCATATTTATTTTATGAAGAATATGGATATGCCTGAAGTTGGTTTCGAATATCAGTGCCTTTTGGACAGTGGAACAACACACACTATTTTGAAGGATAGGAAATATTTTTCACAACTAAAGTTGTTTCAAGCAAATGTAAACACTATTTTCGGGTCAGCAAAATTAATTGAAGGATCTGGAAAGGCTTGTATAATGCTTCCAAATGGAACAAAATTGATGATCAATAATGCTTTATACTCGAGTAAATCTCGAAGAAATCTCATAAGCTTTAAAGATGTACGCCAAAATGGCTATCATTTAGAAACAATGACAACAGGTCAAAAGGAATATTTATGCCTCACGGCAGGAAAATATGGCCAGAAACACATTTATGAGAAATTTCCAGCATATTCTTCGGGGTTATATCGTATAAACATACGACCCGTGGAAATCAATATGATATCTAACCAGAAGTTAGATAACAAACATTTGATTATTTTATGGCATGATCGTTTAGGACATCCAGCAACTAGGATGATGCAAAGAATAATAGCAAATTCAATTGGACATACAATAAGAAATGTCAAAATTCCTCGATCGGATGAATTGACATGCTCTGCATGTTCACTTGGCAAATTAATAATAAGACCATCTATGAACAAAATTGCTATTGAATCTCCAAAATTCTTGGAAAGAATTCAGGGAGATATTTGTGGGCCAATTAATCCGGCATGTGAACCATTTCGATATTTCATAGTTTTAATTGATGCTTCTACACGATGGTCACATGTCAGTCTGCTTTCAAGCAAAAATGTTGCCTTTTCAAAATTACTTGCCCAAATTATCAAATAAAGAGCACAATTCCCAGATCATACAATAAAGAAAATAAGACTCGACAATGCTGGGGAATTTACATCCCAAACATTTAATGATTATTGTATGTCAATCGGAATTAATGTTGAACACCCAGTAGCTCATGTTCACACAAAATGGTCTAGCTGAATCACTAATTAAGAGATTGCATTTGATTGCAAGACCATTATTAATGAGTTCAAAATTTCCATCATCTGCTTGGGGACATGCTATAATACATGCAGCAGCACTAATTAGATTGAGACCTACAGCTTATCATAAATTCTCACCACTACAACTTGTTTGTGGTCGAGAACCAAGTATCTCACATCTAAAAATCTTTGGTTGTGCTGTATATGTTCCCATTGCTCCACCCCAACGAACAAAAATGGGTCCACAAAGAAGGCTGGGAATTTATGTTGGGTTTGAATCCCTCTCTATAATTAAATATCTTGAACCATTGACTGGTGACTTATTTACGGCTAGATTTGTCGACTGTCACTTTAATGAAGCACTATTCCCAGCTTTAGGGGGAGAGAAAGTGGACCCACGCAAGAAAGAAATAGAACTTATTTGGAATGCAACACAACTGTTGATGTTAGACCCACGAACAAATATGTGTGAACAAGAAGTCAAGAAAATTGTTCATTTACAAAGTGTTGCAAATCAATTGCCTGATGCATTTGTAGACACAAAGAAGGTGACAAAATCACATATACCAGCAGAAAATGCCCCTGCACGTATTGAAATCCCAACTGATAATAAGGCCATTGAGAATGAATCCCAAGTACGCAAAAAGCGTGGGAGACAACTTGGTTCAAAAGATTCTAAACCAAGGAAGTTGAAAAGATTGGATGGAATAGAAAATGAGACTAATGATGTTTCCCGTCAGAAGGTCAAGAAAGACCAAATGTGAATGAAAGTAAAGAAAATGATGATAATCCAAAAGGGGACGAACAAGAAGAAAACCCTACGGGGAATGAACAAGATGTTCAAAACATCGATAACAATGAAATTTCAATGAATTACGTCTCTACCAAGACTCATTGGAATAGGAAAGATGTTATCGTGGATGAAATATTTGCAAATTCCATCGCAATCGACATTATGTCCGATGAAAATGATGTTGAACCAAGAACACTGGAAGAATGCCGACACATGAGTGATTGGCCAAAGTGGGAGGAGGCAATGCTGGCTGAGTTGAAGTCACTTGAAAAACGAGAAGTTTTCAGAAAAATAACCCTTACACCAGCGGGTGTAAAACCCGTTGGATACAAATGGGTATTTGTGAGGAAACGTAATGAGAAAAATGAGATAGTTAGATACAAGGCAAGACTTCTAGCCCAAGGATTTTCTCAAATTCCAGGGATTGATTATGAATAAACATATTCTCCAGTAGTTGATGCTACTACATTAAGATTTCTCGTAAGTTTGACAGTCACAAAAGGACTGCAAATGCGATTAATGGATGTAGTGACTGCGTATTTGTATGGGTCACTCGATACAGACATTTACATGAAAGTCCCTGAAGGACTAAAACTACCAGAAAACCGCAAACTTAGACAATTACTTTCCATAAAACTAAAAAGGGCACTTTATGGATTGAAGCAATCTGGAAGGATGTGGTATAACCGTCTCAGTGAATACCTTATGAGAGAAGGGTTCAAGAACAACCAAATTAGTCCTTGTGTTTTCATAAAGCGATCACAATCAGGATTCGCTATTATTGCAGTTTATGTTGATGATTTGAATATCATCGGAACCCCAAATGAACTTGAGAAAACTACAAAATACTTGATGAAAGAATTTGAGATGAAAGACCTTGGAAAAACTAAATTTTGCCTTGGATTGCAAATTGAGCATTTGAGTCATGGTATTTTTGTCCATCAATCAAACTATGCAGAAAGAGTTTTGAAAAGATTTTTCATGGACAAAGCAACCCCAATCAACTTCCCAATGGTTGTTCATTCTTTGAATATGAAAAACGATCCATTTAGGCCCCGAGAAGAAAATGAAGAAATTCTGGGTCCAGAAGTACCATACTTAAGTGCAATTGAAGCCTTACTCCGGTACCTACGAGGGACACGAGACCTTGGTTTATATTATGAACCGAAACAAGATGCTGCTCTCATTGGATATGCAAACGCTAGATACTTATCGGATCCTCAAAATGCCAAGTCACAAAATGGATATTTGTTCACTTATGGCGGCACAGCAATATCATGGAAATCAACAAAACAGACATTGACCGCGACATCCTCAAATCATGCAGAGTTGATAGCACTTTATGAAGCTAGATGAGAATGTGTATGGCTGAGGTCGATGATTAGTAATATCCAAAAAGAGTGTGGGATGAAAGCAATAACAGAAAACCCAACCACCATCTTTGAAGACAATACAGCATGCATCGCTCAAGTAACTGAGGGATATATTAAGGGAGATAGAACAAAACATATATCCCCAAAACTATTCTTCGCACATGATCTGCAAAAGGATGAGGAAATAGATATCCAGCAAATTCAGTCTTGTGACAACCTTGTCGACCTGTTCACCAAATCACTTCCTCCTAAGAAATTTGAGCAATTAGTTCACAAATTTGGAATGCGTCATCTTCATGAACTATGTTGAAATCAGGGGGAGTATTATACACTGCACTCTTTTTCCCTTCGATCAGGTTTTTATCCCACTGGGTTTTTCCTGACAAGGTTTTTAACGAGGCAGTATATCAAAGCATATAATATTTTCCTTTAAGGCAACCCATACCCCATTTCATGCGAACTTCAAGGGGGAGTGTTGAGAAAATGTCAAAATGAAGTCCACATAACTTGTAGCATGATAAATTGTAGCTCATCACATAAATTTATTATGGACAATAATTTGTCTAAAAGTACAATCATGTATAATATTTTAATGGCAATATTTGCCTATAAATAAGTTCACTATCTTGTGAACTATGAAAAGAAGAAGTAGAAAATACAACCGACTCTTTTATTTATTCCTTTGCTTTCTTCTATCTCCACAAACATACAATATCATCCTATAATTAGAAAGTCATCTTTTAACAAAAACAAGTATTTTACAAGTATGCAAAATGAATTTTCAAATATACACTTTTCAAAATAAAGTTTTGTATTCCTTGTTTTTAAATAATTGTTTACATTGAAAACTAACATAGATCTTTCAAAATCTTTTATTAAATATTTTGATTTCAGTTCATACCTTATAGTGTTTTCAACGATTCTCCTAATGAAAGTATTTTTAATTTATGACTCATAAAAATATTTTACAAGTTTTCTCACTACTTTTGTGAACAAATCATTTTAAAACCTAAGCTCTTTTGACTGTTTGACACGTGCTGGTTTTCCTTACTTTAATTGATGATTGTTGATAAAGTGTTAATATAGTTGATTTAATGAGTTAATGTGTTGGTCAAGTTACGTGGACGTAACTCCTTTTAAGGGGGGTAGAGGGCGATAGAGTTTTGCGCGTTTGCCTTTCGAGTCATTTTTGAGTAATTTTGAGTCTTTCTTGAATTAGTTATGATCTTGAGCCTAGTAAGGATGTGCATGAGTCTAAGAATTTAAAATCAATTTCTTTTTATTTTGGCTAAGTTTCGGGACGAAACTTCTTTTAAGGGGGGTAGACTTTAATACCCCGTATTTTTTAAACGCATTTTCTAATTAATTATTATTTTCTAAAAAGGGTATTTTAGTAATTTATTTTACTATTTGAATATTGGAGCCAAAATGATATTTGAATTTTGGCGCCAAAAATTATTTTTGGATTTTGAATTATCCATTTATATTATTTTAAAAATCGAATAATTTATATATATTTTGGATATTTTAATTAAACAAAATTATATTTAAATTAAAAGGGCCGAATTTCCCTAATTAATTAGCTAGGGTTTTCGGATTTTCTAAGTGTAGAAAATCTGATTTTCTTAGTTAAATTAATTAGTGAATAATTGGTATTTTTCTAATTAATTATTTTATACAAAATATATTATTTAAACAATCATTTTTATTCCTTA